AAATGTGATTATGACTCTACATGCTGTAGGTATTTTACTATTTACACTTTTCCCACAGTTCTTAGTGTAAACGCTGCCTGCAGTTCAACCGAAAAACCCCCAAGTTTCAGCCATATGACTGTCGGTCGCAGCTGAGTCACTCATGGCTTCACAGTTGTACCGATGAGTTCATTTTTAAATTTTTTTTTACAGAATCTGGTTCGAGGAAACTGTTTAAGCTCAGATTCTCTTAATTTTCCCCAAAAACCAGTAGGGTCAAGACCAAATGAGTCTGTTACAGCTTCTGGCTTTGACAAATGGTGACATTTTGGTAATATTTTTAAAGCTCACGCTGCCAGCAGGGTTTTAAGTTCAGAGGATTAAAAAGACTCAAAGAATTGATCTTATTTTATGAACGTCATCATCACACGAACTCCGCGGCGCTTCTCTCTGTTGGAACATGAGCTGATGTGCTTTTTATACAAGGACATTTTTTTTTTTACGTTTTAGTAAATTAGTTTTTGTTGGTAAGTTGAGGTGGAACTTTAAACTACATGCAGGTATACTTCTAATTTATTAATTAGCATCGATAATTACTGAGATTTGCAGCTGCTTCGTTGTAAAAATAAACAGGAAAAACTCAAACTTTGGCCTGATAAAGCTGCTAAATGAAGAGTTAAGACAGCTGATCCTCTGAGGACCATGAATCTTGAAAGAAAACTTCAATCTGTTGAATATTTATGGAGATGTTTCGCTGTGGACTGAACTCCATCCAACTCCACGACTTATCACTAACAACAGCTTTCTTGTGAATCTATGCAAAGTTTTCCTCGTATAGCTTAATTTTAAGAGCCACTCAAAGATAAAAGGGCATAAATTGTGCATGAACAGGGTTGTAACTGCTGTTCTGTTCCCTGCAGGTCAGAGTGGGATCATCGCTGGTGTTTGTGCAGCTCTGTCCATCGTGCTGCTTATCACTCTGGTGGTCGCAGGACTCACCTGCTGCAAGAAGGACAACATGGACAACTACACCTCCAAAAGGTACTTTCTCCTGCGTGTGGCTTCTCGTTTGTTTTTTTTTTAAACTTCCCGGCTGATTAAATATCACGTTCCCAGGAAAGTGCATTCAGCTCCAGACAAGCTAAACCCGATGTTCCAGGAGGGCGGCGTTAAAGACAGACCTCAGATCAGTCAGCCCACCTTCATGGAGTCGACGGCGACGCAGGCCTGCAGTCCTCTGGTGGTCACCGCGACTCCCTGCAGACCTGCTCCTCAGGTACAAACATCACCGCATCGGCCGCTTAGAGCTTCACCGTAAACTACCAGAATATTTACGACGAGCTTTTTCTCCCGCAGCCTCCAAAGAAAGCGTCTCTGGTGTCGACGGAAACTGAGCCGGTGAGCTTTCTCCTCTTTAATCTTTAATCTAATGCATAATGCAAAGTGAGCATCGAGCGCAGAGATGGAAACTTCAGCCTCAAGTCTCCCAGAAGTTCAGAAGTCAGATTAAATCATTGATGGAGGGAGCTGCCTGTGTTTGACAGAAGAGCAAAGGGGCAACTGAGTTCAGATAACAAGCTGGAATTCTGACCTGAATTTCAGAATTCTAAGTAAAAAGTTTGAATTTCGACAAAGAAAAAATCTGAAATCTAGTTTTGCAGAAATCAGAATTCAGAAATCTGAATACAGTTTTTGAATTGTTTGAATTCTGAAAAAAAAAAAAGGAAAAAAGAAAAAAAATTGGAATTCTGACTTTAATGTCAGAAAAAAAATCTGAGTTTGAGGAAAAAAATCAGATTCTTTTTTCAGAATTTTTGGAGAAAAAGTTGGAATTTTGCCTTCTTTTGTCTGAAATAAGTTAAAATTGTAAGAAAAAAAGTTGGAATTCTGACTTCAATCTTAGAATTCTCAAAAAAAAAAGTGTGTACAACTTTGGACTTTTTTTCTGAAAAACTGTGAGTGAATAGTTGGAGCTCTGACTTCAATTTAAGAATTATGAGATAAAGTCAGAGT